AGAGAGAGAGAGAGAGAGAGTGAGAGGAGAGAAGGAGAGAGAGAAGGGGAGGGGGGGTATAGCTAGAAGGTTACTGATGTTGCGGCCCCCAACCGTGACTCCCAGAAGGTCTTGAGATTTTCTTTAAAAAATAATCTCTGTATAGATGTTAAAAAGATAGGGAGACAGGACGCAACCTTTTCCCACTCTTCTGTGGATTTCAGTATATCCTGATAGTTCATTACTCACTTTAATTTTCATTGCTGCCCTTTGCTGCAAGTAGATCTAGAGATTTTATTTCCAATGATTTTGATATCTTTGCCATCAGTACTTATCTTCTCATAACACTCAAACAGGGGCACACACACACACACACACACACACACACAGAGAGAGAGAGAGAGAGAGAGAGAGAGAGAGAGAGAGAGAGAGAGAAAAGGAAGAGGGAAGGGGTGAGAGGAAAGGGGATGGAAAGACAGCCCGATGTATTCGAAAAAAAGGCGTCAAACTCTAGAGCAGATCCAATCGCGGAGGCGGAAAAAAAGATATAAAAATATCCACCAATTAGCGTCCGCTCACCTGAGGCGCTGTCCCGGACCAAGTGAGCGGCCTTTTTGTCGGCCTCATTGTGACTTAAGCCGAAGAGAAACCTGGCAAAGCACATGTGCCAACTGAATGTCATAGTGTCAGCTGGACGACAATCCTGCAGTTACAGAAGAACCACTAGGTAAACTCACACTACTCCAGGAGTATTGGCGAGTGTGTAACCATGTGCGTGTACTACTCTAACGGCATGCTGACATTTCTATCAAAAATCGCATTGTGCAAATTTAGCAAAATTCGCATTTTCTAGCAAAAATCGCATCAAGTAAATTTATCTCCAAAAAAATCGCACCCTGCTAAAATTCGCAGAGGATGGTTGTTGGCAAGCACTCTGGTGTGGTTTGCTCCTTCTTTTCTATTAGAGATCTATCGGCCTTATCTCTCTTCCTTTTTTCTTTCTATGTTACTCTCTAATAGTAACAACTCTAACCTTCGGCACTTAAAGATAAATTTGCGTTGCAAGTCCGTAAAACTCTTACTAAAACTTCAAAACTAAAACTAAGCAAAAATCACAGGCATGTTGGGTTAACCACTGACCACTTAAAGATGATAGATAGTTTGCATCACTTATCTTCAACCTATGTACACCGTGTAGATCTAGATTGAGCTTCCACTAACCACTCAAAGGTTATTCACAAACACGCACTTCTATCTTTCACCTGACCACATAACCTAGCTGTTTAGATCAAACGTTCACTGGCCACTTACAGCCACGGATGGTAAATTGCTAATCTTCCACCTAACTCTTTAACCTAGATCTGAATTGAACGGCATCTATACACTTAAAGATGGCACATCGCTCATCACACTACTAACTTTAAAACTAGGTCTAGAATGAAATACTATACACTCAAAAAGATAGTAAATCCACGGATCCTTTTCTGTGCAAAACATCCTAGGTCTATATTGAACTACAAGTATACATTCAAAGACAGTACGTCGCCCATTTTCCAGCGGACTGCAAAACCTAGCTCCTCGTCCACCGTGCACTAACTATGCATGTAGGATAGAAGCCCGAGAATCTGCCACGTTGAGTCGGCGGGTGAGAATCCGTGAGCCTTGACAGGGACGACGGGTGGAAGAATACATGAGAGAGAGAGAGAGAGAGAGAGAGAGAGAGAGAGAGAGAGAGAGAGAGAGAGAGAGAGAAGG